ATGTAATTTCGCTTCCAGTTAAGGTATTTAGAAATAGTTAGACGTATCGACCTGCTTATTTTTTAACTGCAAAGCTGAATGCCTCTTAAATCGCCCGATACACTCTTTCACAATAGTGTCGAATCCCCGGTCTATGCGACTTCTCAGGACTGTGGGGGCCAAATGATCAACGGAAGGAGGCCAACCTACAGGACTGTACTCAGGGCTATGAAGGGCAGTGGTCGTCGCGCCGCGTCCTGTTCGATATGGGACACATAGCGACCATGGAGGTAGAAAAGAGAAGGAGTGAGGACGCTATTTAAGCCCATGTTAATCTTATAAACATCCTTTGTCTTTGGTCTGGTTAAGCCACTTATTGTTTTTGTTTATAAATCGTTTTATCTACATGATGATAGCCGCTTATTTACACAAGAAAACGAGGGTAGAACTGAAAATAATAAATTCTGTTTAAACATCGTCTATAAAATTGAATGCGCAAACCATAAATACCACAAAGGTCATTTCACACTTGTGTAGATACCGGAAATTCTGCATACGGACGCTACCAAGATGTGTGCTTACTTCTTTCTGATATTTTTCATCGCAATAGTCGTCCAACTTTGGACATTGATTGAAAAAATCCCAAAAATTTCCGCAGTGAAATTTAAAGATACATGATAAGATTATAACAAGATGTTTTGACTCGTCATTTTTCATTGGTGTGCAGAACTGTGCAGATGTCGAAAATCGCTCCTTTTGTTGTAATAGATTTTGGGCGTTGAGTACACTCAGCATAGGTTTTTGCTGCATTTTGTATTATTGTTATTTGTTTGGGCATGTGCAGTGAGTCCAGAATCTTTTTGAAGCTTCCGAATACAGCCGAAACATGTAAGCCGATTAACTGTGACATTGTACAGCGTGTTTGCAAACTAATTACAATGTGTACTGAGTAAACAAATCCAAAGCATCATGAAACCAGCGGAAACAATAGCGTCCTCACTCCTTCTCTTTTCTACCTCCATGTAGCGACGTATACAACGCGTGTAAAATACTGTTTATTTACATGACATTCGAACACTTTAAAGTGCGGAACTAGCTGATAGTTATAAATGGTTATATATCTGGATATATCCTGAAAAACTAATTTTGTTCTCACCGGGGATGACTAGTTTTCTAACTATACACTGGACTAAGATGTAGATGGTACTTATAAATGAATATATGAATATAGATCTAGCTGATAGTTATAAATAGCTATATTCATCTGTGTTTAACTGAAATATCTAATTAAGCTCCCATTGGTAATACATAGACATTAGCTAGTTTACTAGTGAAAGAGCACAATTCCGCACCTAACTCATGTTGAGGGACTGTGACTAAGGGTAAGCCAAAGTCAACAATGTAGTCAGAAGGTTGGCAAATCTGTATATCAACCGCTGACTGGGTCAATATTTTATTATTATACCAAATACCATTTTCTAAAAGGCAGCATTACAACAAGATCTCTCTGGCCCAAGTTATTAATGACAAAATTCAGAATTATTTGTGGTATATAGTCATCAACAAATCCTGGAATTCTGTGCGAAATTCAAAGTGTGACTGTTGAGCAGAAAATGTTACAGTCCAGGATTTACAATGAATTATTAAAAACCAAAATGCACTCTTACAGGGCTTCAGAGACTCATGCTGCAATTGCTATAATGGCGTATGTGTGAACATTTTTTAGTCCCCGTTTTGACGAAGTCCGAAAACAGGGACTTTCTGCCATTTCGGAGCTGAATCTCAGTCTATACATATAGACGAATTTCATTCAGATATGGTACATATATTGGACATAATGTACGTAATTTTGTTTTTTTAAATTCAAAATGGCTAATTTAAACAAATGCTGTTCCAGTGACATATCTCTGACCCGCCATGTTCAAACTTTGTATATACATCATGTAACACATGCATTTATTGGACAATTTGAATAAAGATGGCTGAATGGCAGCCATTTTAATGTTAAAACTCATCAAAATTCAGTATTTTTGCCATCCTAGAACTGGATCTCAGTTATATATGGACAGATTTTGTTCAAATGTGGTGCAAACATCAGACATGGGATATGGATGAAAGTTATTTTATTTTTTAGATCAAACTAAAAATGGCTGCCTGGTGGCCATTTTGTATAAGCATGGAACTATAAACCCCAGGAAGAACAACGAAACTAAGAGGATTAAAAAAAACCTTTGTCTTAGTTTATCTTACAGTGCTTTCGCTTTTGTTTCCACAACATTAGTCATAGATGCCGTCGATACGCCCGTTTCAACCGCTTTGCTGGAAACGAGAAACTTGAAAACTTTTTTTTTCCGTTGAATGTCGCTCATTTATCAGTGTTTTTGTCTTGGCGCCATTGTTTTTTATGCTATAACCGAAACAACTCGATCACGTGATCTCCCGAAGTCGCCCGATTGACTCCGAAAATGACCGATAGTCGGAGATAAACGTTCATTTGCGTAAATCGGCTTATTTTTTAATGCGACGAAATAAACAGTCAAAATAAACATTCAACATCGCGGCAACTATCATAGTTCAAAGGAAACGAAGTGGTTGTTCTTCCTGGGGTTTATAGTTCCATGGTATAAGTGAATGCAGTTTTGGATCCACTTCTCTAAAATTTTTTGATTGTTCATGTTCAAACTTATATATTCTCACAAGGATTATGTAATGCAATTACTTGTTTTTTCCTATTTATTTAAGTTACAGTTTAATAATAACACACGTTTGTGAGGGCAATATTACGATATATAACACATCATAACCAGATTATTGGTCACTACATGATTACATGATGAACTTACTCAAGTGACGTCAACAGACTAATCATCACCGCATATGCATATGCACTAACATTTTTGATATATATTTCAACAGCTAATCAGACAAAGCCATTCCACGATTTCCAACTTTTGATTGGCTCACCTAACGGTAGTATCCGCCAAGGATTCAAAACAGAACACTATCAACTATCTTTTAAATCCTTGGCTTTAACTACATTGCAAAAGTTTGCATTGAAATGGCACTGCCATATAAGAGACGACAAGCACATAAGCCAAAGTAAGCAATGCATGTTTCTACATCGACTTTAAACTGGAATATAGACTGTCGACAGTCTTCGGGCCTAATGTAATTGTGTTTCCTAGACATTCAAACTCCGAAGGCGTTTGATGGGAAATGCAAACCATTTCACGCGAGGGACTTTAGTCCCGAGAGATTGTCCCCGTCTGCAGGTTTTTAGTTGATATGAATAATTCATAGTTGATGCTGACATCACAAAATAAATTATATTAACATAACGTATGCAAATTTATTCTAAATGACCCCCTGAATGTGTTGGTTGTTCATGTTATGAACACAATGATTACAGTCACTCCAACCAAAATAGCAAAGAAAACTATTAAATCGCCTAGAACCAAGGAAACAACGTGCATTGTTTGAGACAGTCAAATAGAAAATATATAAAACTGGAGGAGACTGTTTTGCAGGATCAACAGAACTACGACATGTGAAAATATCAAATTTGTTGTGGCAGAGATGATCGATCTACATCTTGTCAGTTCGTATGCGCGCAGAAAATCTGGACTGAGAGCGTCGACTCTGCATAAAAACATGGATGAGTTCAGGAAGAAATTTCAACAAACTAAGCAAGAGTTATTGGAAAGGTCGCAGGCATTTTCCTCTAAGAGAATGGCAACTGAAAGTGGGGGATCCCTGGTTTCGAAAGGAGTTCTTTTTGACAAGACGAATGTCAACATGGCACGCTGACAAACACATCTCTCCCCTCTGTGTAGTTTGCGATAGTGTCTCGCTGGTATTCTTTGCAAGAAATATGGTAATCTAAACGTTCCAGCACTTTTAGAATGCATCCATCAAGATTTGTTTGTGTCATGATATCAAAAACTGCTGTGAAAAATGTCGCGATCGCGTATAGTACAATTAAAACAAACTTTGCGTAAGTCGTGGGCGATCCTAGCCACTGACCCTTTTCACGATTGGCCACGTTAAAATGATAGACATCTGCGCGACTATTCATTTCCATATGAAAGTACCAGGATCTGGTAAGAAATCTTATCAGTGAATTGCAGCATCGAACAGTCGGTTGTGCCTAACAGCACTCCATACTTCCTGTTCTGGCGGTCACAATTTATTTACGCCTATTACGTTTATACACAATATTTATTAATAATAATAACAGATCAATATTAGGTTCCACTGACTGTCGACAGTCTAACTGGAATACAGAAATCAAACACTGTTGTGTTTAATATTCACTGTTCACTAACTAATATTGATGAAATGCAGAAATATAAAATGCAACTTTTAGGAAAGGTGAAATATTATAAACAGGTATTAATTATCAAATATAATGTTGGAATGAATTATGTTTCAAAATTTCAATTTTTTTTATCAATTATCAAATGCAATATTTCAAATATGTTTATACAAATATACATCTACCACAAAATCATCACTGAAATGTGGCATCCGAGATCACTTCACACAGTCCTATGTTGTAAACATTAGCATATCCTTAATAAATAGCAAGTTCTCGTCCATTTTCTGTTTAGTTCGGTTGACGAACATTATGTGAAAGTCTTGAAACAGTGAATGACAATTTGTTCTGTGCAGTAATGTGTGCAGTGGTTTCAGTGACACCATCCATGTTATATACCATGTACATTTCACTAAGCGGACAATATATCTTACACCGTAACATCTGTATCAGAAGCCGTATCCCTAATAGAAGTCATACCCAATCTTTTTGAATAATTGAGAATCAAAAATTCATTATTTCTCATGTGTGTAGATGCTCTAATAGAAGCTGCATCCCCTCTGTTGCATTGTACCATTTTAATAGAAGCCGCGGTTTCTACTACAGATTTTACAGTACCATGTAATATTTAGAGGTTATTGACAGCTTATGGTCAAAATAAGACATTCCAATAATTTTGCATGCAATAAACACAATTTGCTTTATGTGTATTGAACATGTGCTTCTAATATTATAGTAAATACAGTATTCCTTACTAGTACTTTATGTCTCCAATATCTTAAGCACACAGGAGTTCTTTCTAATTTTTCTTTGATTATTCATTGTCATGTGACTAACCTTAGAATGAGAGGGACAGGCAACTACAGTGTTTCTTTTGTTTTAACCTGGGTTATAATCCTCCAAATAATCTCACAATCTTATTAACGAATAAACAACCATCTGTTTATTTTTACTGTCGGCAGCACTCGTGAAATCGCGCAAAACGCGCGAGTTTCCCTGCGTGACTACTGAAGCAACGATCATGAATATGCTAATTGTATGTTAATGAGTTTTCCACTTAGTGTCTCTTTCTAAGGTCTATGGACTAACCAACCTAACCAATCACTGCATGTGTAACAACAGTGAGATGTGATAATCATAAATATTGATTCAGGTGCCTGGGGACACAGGTTACCATGACATTTATACTCTGTGTTTAGATGTTCCAATAATAAGAACAATTTACGCTGGCGACTAAACTATCAAGAAGTTTTGAAACCTTGCCAATAAATAAATAAATACATTCAGAATCCATTTATCACACAATAGATGATTGTAAAAAGTATTTACCCGCAAAAACAGGGGGTACGCTGTTGTGACCATTTTGACAATTAGAGGAAAAACAACAACATTCAGGTATCAAGGCAGTCTTGGCCATATTTTATTATTTGATGAATACCCGGTGTTGTTGCTGGCTGTGTTAGGATCTAGGAGCAAACTTGATGTGACAACTTCAGAGAAGGTGTAACGCCTTTAAAAAACTTGAGGCTGCAAAAATTAATAAAAATATCTGCTTGTCAAGAACATTTTTTATTCACAATTGTTTTTTCTTCACTTTTGACAGTCCTTTACAAAACTGGTTGGTTTGATTTCTGGTTTGCTTAAAATTGTGTATCACATAATTTTTTTGTCATTGCAGATTATTCCTGTAGCTGGTACACCCGGAAAATGCAAATTCAGTTTAAAGGTCGATGAAGGGCATTTAAATACAGGAGGAACCTTGCATGGAGGATTGACAGCAACACTGGTCGATTCTCTAACAACTGCAGCAATAATGACTGCTGGTGGCTCACCTGGTGTTAGTGTTGACTTGAATGTTACGTAAGTAGTGAATCAATGATAAAACAAAAAACATAGGAATACTGTGAGGTTATTACGAGACTACCAAATAGTATGCACAAAGAAAGTACAGTGGGAGTATCGACCGAAGTGCAGCGTAGGTTGATGTGGCCGCATACTGTCTGAGTGCATACTTTGCGGTATCCTCATAATAACCTTATTATTATAAATTATTTCATCCCAAGGATACATCATGGGAATGCCGAAATCTAAAAAAATTTTGAACAGATTTAGCAAATTTCGTTGTGTAGGGTTCGGTCAAACCTTGAAGGTTGTCATGTTTGTGTTTATTATTAGAAGACGCTTAAGCGTGTAATCATTCTATATTTGGAATTCTCATTTCCTAATATGGTAGAATGCAAATACCCAGTGCAATAGCGCAAAATTACGGCACGCTGTAACTTATGGCGTTACAGTAACAGATGTATAATAATAATGATATTTAAAGATAGTGCATGGATAATTTTAGTCTGGTTAACCTGTATTTTTAGTTCTTTTGGATTGATCTCTGTTCGTCCATTCATCCATACTTATCCTGCCATATTTCACACATGCTTGGGTTGATTAACTTCAAACTTCACATGTACATCAAATATGCGCATACATTTGTTTGCTGATCCAATCCAATCCTATTCAATTCAATTCAAATCAAATCATAATTTTCACCATTCCGGAACCAGATCTCAGTCATGTGTGGACATATTTGGTTTAAACTTGTTACATACATTGAACACAATGGGACCTTCATCATTTTGTATATTTTGTTTTAAAGAATGCAAGTATAAATGACGTAAGGCTAGTTACTGCCAAAGTCAGATTACCTCACAAAAAATCAAGGGTCACAAGTGAATTATACCCCCTCACAGACTATGAATAATAATTCCCTTGTAAAGAAATATTTCGGCCCCAATATGTGCTATAAATGAATAAAACAATGCATACAACAACAATTTTCCGTCCTGTTCAGCCAACTGGAAATTATGTCCTTAAAATAATTAAACAAATGACTGTAAAATACTTTATTTTAGCTGGAATAAATTTTTTCTGAAAACACATTTTGGGTGTTTTGTATGGAATTTATTTTCACAGATTTTTGATGAGTTGAATGTAAAATATAGGAAAAAAAGTATATTCACTGGATTTTATTTTCAGTGAATCATTCCTACAGCTAAAATAGCGCAAAATTAATTCTAAGTGAAAATAAGGTATTCTACAGCAGGCACCAAAGTTTTTGAAAATATTTAACTCAATCAAGGACTTTTGGTAGACTGCTTTCCCACTGCTTTTTCAATCCTAAAACTTGTTTGTATTCAAAATTAATTATGACAATGCATAATCATATTGAAGCAAACTATAATAAAGGAAATAATAACTATTTTTTGTGAATGGTTACAAAAGTTTGCTTTCATCACAATTGATAATTCAAAGGATGATGGAATATCCTGAAAGTCGCAAATATAAAGCGATAAATATCACTACTTTAAAAATACAGATAAACACAGATGCAGATCTTTTTAAAATTGAAGTAGTCATGCTAAGTGCAGTGTCAGGGATTTTTAAAAACAAGGGAACAGGGGCGCAACGCCATCATGCCATGGCCATGCGCCCCCTTACCCTGGAGACCAGATCCTCTGGCAACCATAAAATTCTGATTGACTAGGGATCACATGTGGCCACATGCAACTGTGACCTGTCTGATAGTAATTTTGGCCCCAAGGAAGCCATAGAATGCTCCATTTTAACTTAGAATTATCAAAAACTCCACACTCTGGTAGGGAGAACCCCATCTCTCCTACTTGGTGGTGCCACTGAACTGCAGTGCTTCCTCTTGCAGTTTTTTTCTAGAAAAACCCCTGATCACATGATACTGTTGCTTTGGAAACAGTGATGGAATTTGCATGAGGAAAACAAAATATAGACTTCCACTGGACCCAAGGGTAATAAAGCTATGGTACTGTTGGTGACATGTGGGTAACACTGCAAGTCTCAGGAGGTACATTGCTGCTTGTATGTGAGTGTGAATACCTGAATTTGAGACATATACATTTATTTTTATTTATTTATTTTTTATTAGACGCATAAAATCCTTAGGAAAGGATAAAAAGGGTCTTACAGAAAGAAATTAAAAAGAAACAAAAAAAACTACAATCTAAAAAAGAAAACAAAAAATAAAAACTTTTCTAAAAACAAAAACAAAAAACAAGTCAAAAACAAAAAAATACAATTTGCAGCCAATGGTGAATACAGAATATAGAATGAACACAAAATGTGGCCTAATACACTGATAGTTGTTGCTGTTTTGTTCCATAGCTGTTTTTTAAGAAGAAAGCTAAGGCTGGTGCTAGAGTATGGTTTGCCATAATCAAAATTAATTTATTTTGACTATTTTCTTTATCAAAATTTGGAATTTTATTTTGTGCAGTCAGGAATAATTTGTCCCTATGGTGACTGTAAGCTGGACATTTCATTACAAAATGTTGCTCATCCTCAACTATATTTTGGCTGCACATATCACATGTTCTTTTATCCAGCGGCACATTATTATGTCTGCCTTTCTCAATTTTAAGGTCATGGTTGCTTGTCCTGAATTTTGCAATTAACCTTCATACATTGGCTAAATCTCCAAACTCTTTGTCGGCAATCATCTGTTACTATTTCTTTTGTTTTCGAGCATAATCAAAACACCATACCTTTTTTGGCCTCCAATGGTATTGTTTGCAGCAAGATCGAGTAGTGTTTTAAGAGCTAGCTGGCATTGACACACTCCCATATAGTACAGTACATAGTTTGATGGGAAAACATCTGAATTACTTGCACATAATTGGGGAGCCATAATTAGCTGTTGTCATGACAATTGTAAAAGTAGTGCAGGCCACAGAGTGAAAATATAAAATAACACCAATCACATGATAGATATAAATTGTTATTTGAAACATGTGCCGCAGTGAATTTATGATAATTGTAATTATCTTCTTTTCAGAAAGTGACGAGATTCATAACTATAATGAACATTTATTTATTTTTACCTTTCTGTCAGATATATGAAAGCAGTGAAGGAAGGAGAGACAATATCCATCAACGCAGAAGTTTTAAAACTTGGCAAGAGATTAGCGTTTACAACTTGTGATATTTCAAATGAGAATGGAATCCTAATAGCGCAGGGTAGGCACACAAAATTTGTTGGATAAAGTGAAAACCTGATACTTTTACTGCAATAAGACTAGATTGAATATATACTATTTGTGTTGTGTATACATCTTCTCATCATGATGGCTTACTATAAATAATTTAAAGGGTGGTAGTCGTCGCGCCGCGCATGTGCGACATTTGTGTTGATAAACATTGATTTTCCCACAATCCAATGCGCTCTTCTAATGGAAATCACAAGTTTTGACCTAGGCGCGACTTGGACTAATTACCGCTGGTGACTCCTTTGATACATCCCAATCACCTAAAAAATACCTAATTGGTTTGGTAACGTCTCAGTTTGTACTATTTGATCTACACAACAGCCAAAGTCGCCATCAATGTTTATATGAGACTCGTATATCTCTTAGTGACGACTACCGCACTTTAACCGATGTAACTAACAATGGACCCTGACAGTTCAGTATTAGTTCGTGCAGTTCTTTTCAAGTGTCCCTTTCAAATATCTGATCCTTTTTGTTTTGCCTGACATATGAAGTTTCATTGTATTATCGCAGCATCAACCAAGTCGAGTGGAATACAAGTACATCAACACTCCATAATTGTAAGCTATGTGTGTGAGACGTTGAAGTTACTTAGCAATAAATTCAGCATCCACTGGTTATTTAATTCATGTCATGTAATACTGTTCTGTTTCTGATGACCATTGGACACTACTAACTTATAGTTACATAGGACATAATATTCAATGTTTTACTCGTGCTCTAAAGGATGTACAAAAAAAAATTGTGTATTTAAATTTTGTAAAATATTCATCTTAATGTGATTCAGTAATAGGATAACACCTCATGATGCTCATAAATATATAATAATGCTTGCCTAATTTCTGCTATTTGCAAGAAGCTTGAATACTGTAACTTGTATTTGATATGATTACTTCACATCTTCAAAACATAGGAGACTTCAACCAAAGTTCTACCATCAGTAAATAGATGAAGCTCAACTATCTACAAATATGAGTGTGTGGAACACTCTGCAAGAGTTTTATAGACTTCTGTTTGGTTTCACTTTGTGATTTGATCGCAAAAAATTTCTTATTTTGAGCTTGATATAGCAACACTGTATTGCTGACATGTATTTTAGGGAAAGATTTATTGTTTTTATTTGGGAAAATCAGTGAATTGTGAAATATCACCAACTATACAAGGATTGGGTGATACATGGTTTAGCAGTCTAGAATCTACCGGGTATATGCCACTCCACTAATGCTAGTAATATATCATCACAGTTAACTCAGTATTGCTTATACAAATGTATTGCAGATTGGATTAGTTATAAACATTTTTAAGATGAGATTGTGGAATTCCCAGCATGCAGCTTGGTTGGTTGACGAACATTTTATTTCTCATTTAGTATTTTATTAAACAACTATGACATCCCATTGACTGTGTGTGATGTTTGCTTGAATATGAATAGGTAATAAGATGTACTAGTGTCATATGTAAGTGGAATATACAGTATGGTAATTGTGTAACCTCTTCATTCATTGTCTCATGTGAGTACCATTGTGTTTGCATTTACATCGCATGACATTGAATGGGCATATGCTTCAAATAAATGTTCTAAACATTGTTGCATCACTTAAAAGTCGCATTATTTTAGCATCAAATAGTCGCGTAAAATTTGACTGAAATAGATTTATTCGAAATTGTTGTTGTATTCATTGCAAATTTGTAATAGTGAAAAGATTGAGACTGTACATCATGTTTTTATTTATCATGAGGTTCAGTTTTCCAAATGCACAATCAGGAAATACAGTTTGAAAAAATGATCATGTCAAACAGGTCATCACTATAATTGTTTTGGAGCTGTATACAGATTTTGAAATTGAGACGCTTACCCTAAAATTTTGGTGGATTAGGATGATTATCATCACCAATGTTTAATATTTTGTTGAAAACAGTCTGTGGTTTTTGCTGACATTGCAAACACTGATTTGACTGTTTTACCATGACCACCAAAATGAATATTCATTGAAACTCATTGCAAGAAGGCGTGAACTTTGCAAATTCGCAGTATTGATCTTGCCGATGAGACATACACTATTCTGTCAGGCGTTAGTGGAGTCTGATGCCGTTCGACCTGTGAAGGCGCCAATCGTGCCTACATGTCAGACTAACTCTCAGTGCTGCAGAACTGCTTTAGAAATTACGTCAAAATTCAATAACCACATGTTTTCACTGTTCTGGGTGCTTCTCAGTTAAACATAGTTTGGTTTGTTTTGTAATTTATGAAAAAGAATATGTTTGAGCACCTTTCATGGATAGTACCTGTAGATCTGATGTTTTGATAATTGTTATAAGATTGATGGACTATGGAACTACACTAGTCTAAGAATTCAGACTACCATATTAATCCTTGATACATTTCAGAATTAGAGAAAAAACAAGACTCTAAATCTTAATTGGCATCACTTTTTATTTCTAACTTTTTCTTTACAAGTGACATGCTTTTTTGGCTTTGAAAAAAATTAACTTGAGAAGAGAAGACAACTCTCTTAAAATAGACATTAACACCATTATACTGAAAGTGTTACATTATAAAGGTACAACATTATAGTGAAAATGGAACACCAAAAATTGTCAAAATACACATGTAAGGTAATATTCTGGCTACTTTAAAAAAGATTTAGCCTTTTCTACATTTCAATATTTAAATTATATTTGGAGGGAAATTCTGAGAGTTTAATTAAATGGTTTCAAACAAATAACTTAGAAAAGAAATTAAAAGTATTTGGCACTTGTGGCACCAATATAAGGCTACCACTCCCCACTGTGAATGGACTATTCCATTATTTATAAAAAATTCACCATAGGATCATTTAATTAACTAGGAAGGGAGGTTACAGCATTTAATGCTGAATTAAGAAGATTGCAATAATTAGTTAGGCATGCGAGACAGACATACAATTGTGATTTGAAATATTTTTTGCAAATGACCCGATAAAAAAAGGTCACACATCCTGGTAATTTGTTGCTTACCAAAATTCAAAAAATATATTCTTTTCCTATTGGCAAAACAGGTCCTCAGGGTTAAGTGGCTACTGGAAAGTTTGCTCGTCTTTTATACAAGAAGTATTAGCGAGTTGAAATAAATTTCGATTTTCACTGCCAGATTGCAATTTGATGTAAGATGTAACTTGGAAACATTGGGACAGATTTTGTTAATGTTTGCAGGTAATTGTGAACTTGAGCATTTGGGATTGGTCCCATATAATGCATACCAAATATTGATAAAATGAGAGTATCAAAACGCTCGCAATCAAAGCATGAAAGTATACTTCTCTTAAGATCTTCAGCATACATGGTTAGGAAAGTTACCTCTCCATATCTCATAAATATTTGTGCATACACATGTGGGTGAGCTATGATCAAATGCAACATGTGTAGCTGGCAATGACCTCTGCTTTTTAATGAAAGCGTACTCTTTGAAACCTACAACAGCATGCCAGTTTGTCCCAACAACAGTACTAGTGCTATTCACATGGATCATCTTCTGGTTCAGACGACTCGGATTCCACAACCAACACATGCATTACAGATTTAGTATATCCATAACAGGCGTTTTCCATCATGGTTGAGTTGACAAAAAGTCGCGCCAGTTGACGGTAAACTGCAACTGGGTGCACATTTCAGAATGTCAGGACTAAAACAATTCAAGTATGTACAATGATTTAGTATTGCTGAAGATATTATAGAGATTGTTTTCTAGTATTTTTAACACGTTAAACTCCCCCTATCACTTGACCTCATGCATGATCTCAAAAAATAACATTCTGGTACTTTCTGGCAAGGGAATACAAACTCTATTAATGATTATTTCTCAATCATGCCCGCCTCAAATGTGGAGTTACTCCAGTTGTCAAAGTTCAACACGGCAAATAATAATGTAATAATTATGTTATGTACAAGACTGGAAATTATTGATGTTATGGGGCAACCCAGAAAGTGCCAGGATATGGGACTTTTTGAAAATGATGCATATGGAGTCAACCATACAAAATTGCAATATTGTATACTGGATCCTTGAGTTAATTTGACCATGGATACAACCCTGTTATTTACACAAGTACAAATGGAGCAAATAAATGATGTAAACAATTCCAAACAACTGGACGTTGTTGAAGGTGAGCTGCATTTTTGCCAATGTTTTAATCCATATAAAATACACGAGACAAAATAACCCTTGCAGTACTACGGTAAATGAACATACATAAGGTGAAAAATTAAGGTGATTATGCTTATGCAGTACGTATACAGCTGCAAAATGAATTCCCATCTATCGTCATGCTATTATAAATGTACAGCATGTGACGTATATACCATAACTCATTTCGCACCAAAATAAAACTCGGCTTGTGTTCCTTATAAAGGAATCCCCCTGTATTTCAACACGGATTTGATATCTTCAGCGAGCACACATTAGAATATGTATACATATGGGATGGGTTGACACACAGCAAATACAGATTTAAATCATTCCACAGTTAATTATTGATTGAAAGGTTGCTCAAAGAATAGAAAGAAGTGAAATATGTGCTACAAATAAAAAGTACCCTGTATAGTCCAAAGAAAGTTGTGGAATTAAGATGGAGGTGGTTATTAGGAAAAGCATTTAGGCCAAAAGGGTTTTGCTTCTCTTTCCCAAGAGGAGGAAATCGATGCAGTTTTATTTTAGTTCAATACTGCAACAAGAAGTGCAACAAGAAGATACATGTTCAGTGTTTAGTATGGTTTCGAATACATGCTTTAAAGATTTTTTTGGGTAATACAAAATGATCTGAAAACCACATTCTACCATAGGTGGCGCACTTCACAATTACAAAAAAGTTTTAAACTGATGCGCAAAACAATCCCCCTGACTTTAGTAATACCATACATGGTGGGGAAAATGATATTAAGTGTCTGGGGATAAAAAAATTGGAAAGGTATTGGTTGTTGTGGTTATTTATACGAAAAAGCACTTGGTGTTTCTACAGTATTAAACATTGCAAGAGAGATCTCAAATCAGAAATGTATTCCAAGTGTATAAATTTGGGATGCCCCCTTATTAGTAGTGACCAAGAAGTGGAGTGAGTGGAGATTAGTTGTGAGTTGAACAAAAAGTGGGGGGGAAAAAAATCAAACAAGGTTTTTTTTTTTAAACTTTGGAATATTTTTTTTATACATTTGACACACACATTCAGACTACATGCAGTGTTATTGTGTTTCAACTGGTAAATTACACATGTGGAGGGGAAAATAAATCGGTGGGTGAAAACATTTGATAAAATGGCAAGAAAAATCAGAAAGCATTCAGAAAGTATGTTCCATAAATTCAGAAAACAACTGGATGCCAGAAACCAGCTGAGGTAAAAGTTCTCTGAAAAAAGATCTGATGAATTCAAACTTTTTTTTTATAAAATGTTTGCCAAGCCATGGTAAAAAAAAGAATTCCTTGACTTTGAATTTGTATATAATAATTATGATTCACTTTAAAGACTCATTAATATTCATCAAATCTATCTTTTTGTTTCCATGCAATGCTACAGAAATTCTACAATAAATATAAAGGATCAAGAAAATTCCCACTACAAAAAAAAAAAAAAAAAAAAAAAAAATACAAGATTAATTAGTATGTGAAGACACCTGTATATGTTGAAAATAGTTAGGGGAAGGTGGGCATATTTTTTATAAATTATTTACCTTTATTTAAAATGAAAAACTTTTTTATGTATTTTCTCAGAATTTTCAAATATTTTTCAAAAAAATCTGATAAATACACCCACTGTGGCAAATATTGAAATGCACCATAAGTAGGCAGACATCTTTGTATCAATTCAACAGATAATCACACAAACCAGTATGATTTATTAAAATTCTGATTCCTGGCATTTATTTGCAAGAATTTTCTCCCCGTCCAAGCCCTAAATTTGACAACATATAACAGGCTACTCTGTTCTGCAACAGTTCATTTGGGTATTAAAACAATTGAATACATACATACAAGTCTATTTCTATAATTACCATGCCTTGTAGTAATAAAAATATATAATATTAGAGTACCATACTTATTTTTCAACACTTGGTGGGCAAATTTTCAAGGCAGATACATTCTGATTGGTGGATTAAGCTTTGACATCATCTTCACCTTATGGGTCAAGGTAACCTGATTGGTTCATTAAAATATAACATAACTCCTTACAAAAGTAAAAGTATTATCTCATCAAAATCAAAATTGCGACTAGATTCTAGCAAACACAAGACATCTTTGGTAACATTTTTGGGCTTTCTGTAAAAAATATAGTCCATGCAGATATGAATAGGCTTTGTGTTACGTCAGTAGTTCACTTGGAAATGTGCATGTCCACCAAAGTCATAAAACATGCACAACGAACTTTCCTTCTCTCTGGATAATGCTTAAAACTCCATGCATAACACAAAAAAATCCTATCAGAAGAAATCAGCCTCATATTCATACATATAATTTTACACAAACACCATATCACTTCTCTCAATTGAATTCCCAAATGTAAAAATTAAAAAAAAAAAAAAAATAATGACAAAAATAAGAGTTTTCTTGTTCGAGGTAAAACAGTAATAAACGTTCCATACGCGTTTTGTTATCTCCAAAAGTAGCACACAGGGAGGGAGGGCAGTGTTTTCATTCCGATTTACAACGATGTTTGGTTACTTCGTTTCACCTAGCTGCCCGCAACCGTCTCCATGAAGTTACTCCAGAATCGACAACATTTATGTTTTTCATAAACATTTGAGTTCAGTACTAGGCAGAGGTTTACAACGATTCCAGTTTTGACATCATTTATGAGACAGTCAATTTTGATAATAAATATCCGCTGTCATCAGAGGTAGGTAAGGTCCAAGGCATGATGTAGTGCTGCTAGGTCTGAGTGACTGGAAACCCTCCAAAACGGAATGTCAAGCTGCAATAAAAACAAAAGAAGCTCCGTGTCATACACTGACTAGAGAGGGCACTCTTTGAAATTACTTCACCACTGTGGGTAATGCATTTTTTAGATGGTTGTATTTCCCAACTCACTTTAAACTTAAATTTTAAAATGTAAGCTATATTTGCCAAATGATATGTAACTGCACTCACAAAGTATAAATATTCTCATTTCTGCCACTTGCCAAAAATATGCACCTGGGAACTAAATGCAAATTTCTGTCTAGGTTGCCAATAGCAACATGAAGAGTGCAACCTGAAGTGAAAATGACTCTTGCGAAAAATTTCAGTTTATTTTGTTTTTGTATTCACCATCTCTTCCAAGCCAGGTCAAAAAGAGAAACCATTTTTTTTCCTCTGGTATCATCAACAAATCTTTTTTTCAGCATGGTATTTTTTTATGCTTTATTCAAAATAGATCCTTTGAATGTTGTTGCCTAGATACCAACATCATTTTGGAGTGTGCCAAAAAACTTATATATGATGATACCTGGCTCAAACGATTTTTGGTGACCATAGTTTTGTGAACAACAGCATAATGTCAAAACCACAATGTAAAATTAAAGAAGATATCAGACACTGCTACAAAATGTTATGAAATTAATAAAAATTTGCCTCACAAAATAAAAAAGGCTTATAGCACCATATTTGCTCTAATAGTAGCACATACATTTGCGTTAATTACAGAGGTCTATAGTCAAAATAAGTCATATTTGAATAATTTAGTGTATAACCAATGCCACTTTCCGTTTATATGAGCTCCTACTGGAGACGCGCTTCTGATACCGTATTTATTCTATTATTTCATTAAATATAGTTTTTCGTATTCAGTATTTTTTTTAGAGGTCAAACCAAAAGAACTTACACTTACACTTTTGGCAGCCTGTTCTTCGTCCCTTCCATCACCAATTGCCACATATGTAACTTTTCTACCAAACCGAGATACAATACGCTCAAAACAACTTTCTTTTCCTATCTTGGTAGCACTGTAGATGTTCTCAATTGGGAAGGCGCCTCCTAAACCATACAATAATACTTTGGCAACAGCGGGTACGAGTTGTGTGGTGGTTACGAGCACATTTGTACAATTTGACCTGTGAAGAGAGGAACTAACAGTTAAGGACATATACTAATTTATCAGTGGTATGTATTTTAAAAGTGTATTTGTATTGAAGGATGGTGCTCATTGTGCCACCTTATTATGTTTTATTTGGATCCCCAATAAATACAACATAGGTAAAGAAATTGTTCACATGGAATTTAAACCTGCTTTTTCACAACAGAATGCATTTAAGTCGTATGAACCCTTTCAATGCCAAAGTTAACTTGTCTCACATTTCAGAAAAAATATATAATTTTAAGAATCATAATTTTTTTTTAAAATGGAAAATTATTTCAATTAAGTACAAAACGAAACAGTCGTTACAACAGAACATCATATGAAAATGAGATCTTCATACAAGTTATGTAAAATAAATAATTAATAACATAGCTACCAGTTGGTTATTTTGAATCAAATAGTGACAGGGACTAATAATAATGACATACCAGCATTTAGGCTAGAACAAACAGGCTATGGGTATTATTTTAAACGTATGCTGAGGTGAACAATAGACACATTTCAATAAATTGCCATTGTAACCTCTCCATGATTCTCAGAAAAAAGATTGCCATATTTGCTTGAGCTGATACACTTACCGATACGTAAATATGACAGAGATACGTCTCACTGTTATTCACATCCACATACTATCATGCTCCATATTTTATTTGCATAAGTTTCACATAATAACCAATGGGAGATTAATTTCTTTGATGAAATTATAAAAAAAAAACTTACCTGGAGTTTATAAGTGTTAATGATTTGAGAGCTAACGTAAGCCATGAATCTGTCAATGCTTCTATCTCTGCTCTCAGTTGTAACCATGTTTCCCTCTTCTCTGGGCCCAGTACAGCTAATGAATCAATGAAAACAATTATTTAGAGAACACTGCTTTTGAGTTTTCCAGTTTAACTGTATGTAAAGAAAAACCTGATTTATTAGTGTCATTGCATGTATATGGTAACAAGCAGCCTATC